GGTGTCCACGGGCCACCTTCCTGTGGGACAGAGAGCCGCTTTGGTCCTCAAAATGCATTTCCATTTACCCTTCCGGAAGTGATGGAGAGGGTCCCTTTTCCTCCAGGTGGTGAAGTCTGGAGGGTGAAACTCGCTCAGTCCCCACTTTATCGTCTGCGTAGTGTTAGACCAAGGTGTTTGCTCAGATATTTTCACTTTGAGAAATGACTGCAGTGAGGTGAAGGAGATTTACTGGAGGTTATTTAACACCCTCAAGCTTTGTTGTTAATTTCTGTCAGTTCCTTTAAATATACATAATTGCTGAGTCTAAATGATGAATGGTGGCGAACAAGTAAACAGGAGACAGAATCCACAAATACCCCAGTGTTAATTTGTTTTCTAAGCCAGGAAGATGGGGAAGATGCTACTTCTGTGTCACGCTTCAGCAAAACCCTAGTTAACATTCCAGAATCCTCTTCCTCTGTCTACAGTAAGTATAGCATTCACCCTGTATGATGTGGGCAAAGAGAAGAGAATCCCTGCTGTGGTGTCCAGCAGCTTATTGCAAGGGAAAGGGTCAGGAAAGCCGGAACCATACTTCTTGTCTTACTTTTCTGTGGCTGCAGACGTATCTTTGCAGCAATAGGAGGTGGGTCCAGCACCAGCAAGCTTGGAGCACTTTATGGTGGCAGACGAATTGATTTGCAAGGCAGAAGATTGCCTGCTCATTTTGTCTGAACAATGTAGTTGGCTAGACTTTGCTAATGTGTATGCCTGTACCCCTTGTATTAAAGAAACCTTGTACTGAGCATATATATATATCAGGGTTCAAAAAGGATTCAGTAATTCATTGACAGATATTACAGCTCTTTTTTATGCACCCAGAGCGAGAGCAGAAAGACGTCAGAAAGGTATTATGAGAGTGAGCGTTTCTCTGAAATGCTATTTATATTTCATTGAATTGGCTGAAAAGGACTGCAGAAGGCCAATAATGAGCAAGGGAAGCAGGCAGGCAGGCAGCCATCCCACCGCGCACAATGGATGGTGCCTTGATGGATGATTTAATGACTCCAACGTGTGCAGAGGGACCGGAGACCAGGTGGGAATATTCTGTGTTCAGGGCGCAGCTGGAGTGAGGAATAAGCGTGATGCAGTGCCTGCGTTCTCCCCCTCTCGCACTCTGACGGTTCTTGTGCCCCTGGTATTGATTCTCATGGGGCCATTTCTTGTTGTGAAGGCAGGAGTCATACCTGCTTTCTCGAGGTTCAGTTCTCCTTCGGGATGCATTTACTCATCTGATTTGCATCAAGCCCCAGTCGCTCACATTACCACATCCCTCAGGAAGGAGCCTGAACAAGCGCTGGTGTGTTTAACTGAGTGTTTTCCCTAATACCATCATTTCTGGAATGGGCCAGGAAAAAACAGCTCTGAGTCTGAAGCTGGGAAGAGATAAATCTGGGGGATGCTCAGCCAGGGTAAGGAAGCAGAAAGAAGGAAGAAAGGTTTTAAGAGGCATGTGTCTCCTTTACAGTGAGGTGGCTATGAACAGTGGGAATTAAAACCAGCTGCCCGTGTCGTCTTCTCATATATATGCAAGGCTAAGCCACCAACGCCAGACATCAGCATGAAATCTGCTGCGAATGAAGAGGCAGACAAGTGCAAATAAGCCCTCCATGAATTTTTAGTGGTAGATCTGAAAGATGATCTGTCAAGGGCTGACCTCATGCCCACGTTGGCTTGTCTGTGTAAAACCAGATTATCAGTGAGGTCAGTGCAATCTTTACTGACTGTAACCTCAATCTCAGCTTGTGTGACTTAGTGGATATAGAGTCCTCCAAGTCCTTTCAGTACCTTCATACAGCCCGACTTCCCCATAGAACATGAGAACTGTACATGGCTGGCTGACCAGCCACTTGCCTAATTAATATCTGAACTACCAGCTTGCAGTGCCTTTGCATATTCATCTGTGGATGATGGATGCTATCTCTGCAGGGTCATTTTGCTGATGGAAACTGTCCAGCTCACCTGCAGGTCTTTTATTAGCAAAGCAAATCAGTGAAACGTCTCTTTGGAAAGAAGGAAAAATCCCTGCCCTGTGATTGAATGCTGAAGTGCCATCAACAACACGTATGTTGTACAGGACCTGTTTCTGAGCACAGAAGTCCCAAGTGAGAGCCTCAAACAAGATGTTTAAATAATCTTGCGAACTTTGGTGTGTGCTAAAAATGCCTCCAGTGACATTTACCACTGTTCCCGACCCCAAACCCTGGGAATAATTATCTTTTATTGGCACATGTTCTGTGTTGGGATGAAGAGGCTGTCAAGCTGCATTTCTTTTATTTGCATTACAGGAGGAAAGATCAAAGGGAACAGACGTAATCAAACATTTATTCTTCTCCCCCTTTGAAGTCGTGCTGCTCCCCTTTGTAAACACTTAGAACCCGACAACATCTGGGGCAAACTTTTCCCCCTCCAACTCGGCTTCAATCAGCACTAAACCGGGAACCTGATAGGGGGTTCTATTTCTGACAAACCCAATGCCATAGCAATAGCTCTGCAGGGATCGATGCAGCAGACCGGATTTTGGCTTGCCTGGCAGGCTACTAGCTATTTATGGCAAGGCAATAATGGGAGAAAAACACCATCCCGCTGAGTTGTGAGTCGGTAACGCTGGGCTCTTACTTCTTTGAGATTTAAATGAGTACCCAAACTGCAGGGCATTGCAGAGTCCTTCCCAGGCTTCCTGGCTTGTAGTTACAGCTGGCTCTGAGTGACTGCTATCTAAGGGCTTCTAACTAAGCCTTTCTAACTAGCCCTTTCTCAGTCACCACACCCTCTTGCTCCTTAATTGCCAGAGTTGTTCCTTTTGTCTAGGTAACAGTGGGAATTTGGTCGTCTTTAGAACTGAGAAGGCCCACAACTGTGCTCAGAGGAACTGCAGCCTGTGTTGGTAAGGTTACTTCTGATCTGCACACTGTACGAACACAGCAGCCCCGTCTGGTTTTCTGCACTAGAACCAATCAGCTAAGGAAGTGTACTGCATTGCCAATAATCCTAGAATCATTTCGGTTGGAAAGGCCTTTAAGATCATCAAATCCAGCCATTAACCCACCCTTGCCAAGTCCACCACTAAGCCATATAAATCACTCTCTGGCTCCATGTGGTCAGTAGAGAGGACGCAGTTCACCTGATCTCTGCTTTGCCGAAAGCCATCTTTAGTAGAAAATCCAAAGCCGCCTCCTTTTGCCAACCGTAACACCAGACCTCTTGCCTTCCCAGAGGTGCACAACCTGCCATGCACAGGCATGCAAGGTGATCCAGCTGTGTTTTCCATGGGTTCCTTATTTGAAAGCCCTAAGAGTTGTTTGTCCTACCTAAAACTAAAGTGAGTCGTGTCAGTGATTTACGTTGCCAAGAGCACAGATCTCAACAGCTCTTGCAAGCTGGAGCAGTTAATTTCATTAAAGGTGGCAGAATGAAGGATAATCATCTCAGTTACAGCTGGGCAATAGCCTGGAACAAATTTTCAGCTATGAATGTAGGAAAATACTGGTTCAAAATGCTTTCCCTGCAGCTCTGAATGACAATGAGACGGAGAGTCTGAAATAGATGTAGAACTTGAACTGCAAGCAGCAACTGATAAGGAAACTGGGGCAGAGGGAATGACTCAGTTGGCTGTGGTGCAGTAGCAAATCCACATGGGGCTTTGGAAATGTTCATCCATGCCAGTGATAATGCACCAACCGCAGAGATGATTATGACAGTCGGAGAAATTCAGAGAGCAGTAATGAAAAATAACCGATGCCACGAGCCAGTGGGAACATCAGAGTCAAAGGGCACAAAGGACAGAAAATGAAAGGAAGAAAAGGGACTGAGAGGATCTCTGATCTAAAGGCTTCTTCCTGCAGGTTTTATCTCTCCAGACGCAGAAATACAAGGCTTATGACTATTCCCCTCAGAACTGAACAACACGTCAAAGACGAGAGAGGGGGAAAGGGAGAGAATGTCTTCCAAGGTAACAGTTAATCGTCATAAAAATGCGTGCATGAATGTGACAAAGGAAAAAGCAACATCTATCCTAAAAATAAGTATGTAACAGAAATCCAACCCAGTAGTAATAAATAAATAACAGTGTGCAGTGGGCAGAATAGGGTAGAGAAATACACACTGACAGCGGATCTCCTTTCATAAAATGACTATCCCATATTTCAAGAGAGGGTCTCCCTTTTTCAACCAAGTGGTCCCTAATCCTGACAGATGACATATTGATGCTTATGCATCTTGTTCTGAGGCTTCCTGTGAGTCTTTTCTGCCCTCTTTTTGGTGGTTTTGTTCAATGTATTTGCTATACACATAAACAGGTCTTTAGGGACCTAAAAAGAAAAGGGACCTAGAAAGCAGTGTTGAGAAGAACTCCATCCTCACATCTCACTCACTTCATACTTTTAGTGGCAGTCACATGGGAGTGTCCCCTTTGGAAAATGGTGAGTCTTAAACTGTGTTTTAAACCTTTATTCAGAAAATCAGATATCCTAACTTGGTCCCATTGCCATCTATCAAGGGCAGCAATGGCAGAGGCTGGCACTTTACCTGCCCCCCGGTGTATTTGTCACCACTGCCCAAGCCAGCACACATTAGGCGTCAGGAGCTAATATGGAAGTACAAGAAATGGAGGAGTGTTGTTAAGTCCTTCAAACCTCAGCAACCAAACTCCTCCTCTTGGGATGAGCCACTGGGGCTGTGTTTGTTCACTAGCTGCCCTGCCGCTGTCTCCTCTGCCTACATGGAAATTCAGGTTAATTCTGCTCGGCTGCTTCTGCTTTGCCTTGGGGTTTTGGCAGCCACACACGTGTGCCAGTTTCTATCAGCTCTGCCTCAACTGAGAGAGGTTTGAAGGTGCAGCCGAAGAGGTCGGGTTGGGAGTTACCGAGTGGGGCACGTCATGGTCCCTCTGTTCTCTTATTTATGTGTTTATTCTCAGCAGCCCAAATCCAGTTGACCCCTTGTCTTCTCTCTGGCAGTGTACAACTGGCCTGTGTGTCTGCAGAGCTGGGGCATTGCCAGGCCACAAAGGGCTTCCCAGCTGCAAGAGGTGGTGTCCTCTCCATACCTCTGGCTCCACGTGGTCCTCACCCCCTCTTCAGAAGGGACACGTGGGCACCCAGAGAGAGACAGAATGCTGACTGCTGCCACACTCCTGATTCCTGGGTAAGCAGCACCCCCGGAGTCACCCTTGTCCCGGGTCTGGCTTAGATGTTGTACACAAGCCTGATGGAAGCATTAATGATCACATCCCTTCCTTTGGGACCAATCTAATGTGGTTTTGCCTCCCATTAACACCATTCGTGCACTTGCTAATAATAAGCAACAACATCATGTATTCCGCTGCTGTACCATAGTGGCTTTAGGTCTTACTGTCTTAGGGACTTGGAAGTAATATGAAATCTACTTGGCAAAAGGCTTGCTATCTGATTTGAGTGGGAAGGAGGAAGATTTAACACCAGGAGGGGGGAGTGTCACCTTCCCAGCTGGCCTCTGTACCTACACATGCAAATGCTGCATTTGTCTGACCAGACTGCATATTTTAAAAGCTTTGGGGTTTTTCTTTGGCTGGTTTAAGAGCTTGGCTAATGCAGAAGGTACAGCTCCGCATTACACACGAGCCTGGGTTATTTCACCACTCCTTCCTAGGCCTGAAATGAAAGAAAATACCAGAGCTGATTACAGGCTCGAGCTGGATGCTGCACAGGTTTACATGCCTGGGAGCAGCTTAGGATCTATCTATGTACTTCGTAAGTGTCGTTGTTTAGATTTGTATTTTGCTATAGATATGAAGTGGAAACCATTCCAAAGACCTCTCTGCTAGGAAGATTTTTTGCTTGCCTATTATTAGCTTTTGCAGCAAGCACTCCTGAGCCAATATGCAGAGTTTTAAAGGACTTCAAAATGTCATTGGGAACCAAGTGATATGTGTGTTAAAAAGGGTTTACTGGAGCTGCAGTCACTGTAGCACAGAGTCTTTTTATAGCAAGTTTTTACAGCGTTAAGAAAAACATCCTGCAGATTTCAGTAGGACTGCCAGATGGGTAAGGTACTTTGCACTATGATTTTTGTTTATCTGCTATTAACAGAAAAGGAACCCAGCATCGCTAGCTATAGGGAGGATGATAAGCAGGAACAGGGCTGCAAAATTCAGGCAACAGCTCTTACCTCTATTTTGGGTTGTGTTTTGTTTTTTTTTTTTCTTCTTCTTCTTTTTTAGAAGAAAAACATAGATTTGAAAGCCAATGGCTTGGTTTAGAGAATGGAGATCTGGAGTGGTTTGTTTTCACATTGAAGCTTTTAACAGATTGGGGTTCTTTTTCTCCCCAGATCCACTGGATTATGTTATCATTATTGCTAGGCAAATCCTGCTTATCAAAGTTGGGCAAATGTTCAGGACTGTCCTTTAAAATACCACAGGTCAGGCTCCCAAAGAAAAGAAGTGCTTTGCAGAGAAGCTGCCTTGAACACCGAAGCTCGCCTGATCCCTGAGTGGTCATGTTGATACGCAGGAATGGCAGGGAATCGCTGGTTTTAGTGCATCCCCTCTATTTCCCTTTTCGATACCCTTTACGAGTCTCCTTTATTTATGCTTGGGAATCATTTGGGGATGGGGGATGAGGCAGCTTCCTCATTGCAACCCATGTAAGGAGCGGAGAGGAGAGTAGCCACGGCTCGCTGGGGGAGGTAAAAGACTTGCCCAGGGTACACAAGAAGGCAGAGGGGGGCCTTGGTTTGTCCCTCCAATGCCTCAGTCCTACATCGCACCCTTACACCCATCCTTGCATGCACAGCGCAGATTGCTCCCCCTCTGAAGCCATGTCACTTAAACATGCTCTCCTCTGCTGCTGCTCCAGGCTGCGGAGCGACTGGGTCCTGCCTTACCGGGGCCGGGACAACAGGGAGAGGGAAGCCTTTGGTTGTTGTGCGTGCCGGGGCAGGGGAAGCTCCGGGGTCTGCGAGCCTCGCGGGCAGCAGGGGAATGCGAGGAGCCCCGAGTCCCTTCCCCGCCGAGGCTCAGTCCCCAGCGGCCTCTTTCAGCTTCCCCCGGGTCCTCCCCAGCTTGGGAGCTCGCAGCAGCAGCCGGAGATGGAGGAGGGCAGAGGCGGGACGGCGGCGGGGAGGAGGGTCCCGGGGCTGGGTCCCGCTCCCCTTTGCAGCAGGAGCTGCTGGGGGAGTGTCTCGCGTTGTTAATGCTCCGCAAACCGCGGCCGTTTCGGGTCCTCGGCCGTCCGCTGCCACCGCGGGAGACACGGGAGCGCCGAGCGCGGCTCTTCCTGCAGCCCTCTTGGTCCCCCCCAGGCCCGCAGGTTGGGAAGAGATGTAAAGGGGGCAATGGGGAGGAGGGAGGTGAGCACAGAGCAGCCCGGGGGCACCCTCGCAGCCTGGTCCTGGGCTGCACAGGTCTACGGGACTCGCTGGGTTGTGGTGGGTGCCTGCACAGCCACCCCGAATGACCCGAGAGGGGCTGAGGGGCGTGCGAAGGGCATGGGCTGGGTGAGCACCCTGCGATGTGCGAGCATGGGAACCTCCATGCGCGCCATGAGAGAGCAGTCATGTGTGTCCCCGCCTGGGAAGCAGTCCCTGTATTACATGTAGCTGCATGGGCACGCACATCTCCATTCACTTAACGAGACAAGGATGCAGGATGCTCCCTGAGCAATTAGGGAATACGTGTGCCCTTTCCCACATGATTTCTTCCTTTTTTCCTTCCTTAGGATGAGGGTGTCCAGGCAGACATCTCTTAATTTATTCTGCCTCCTCTGGCTCCTGCTTCTGCTGAAGGCTGCCTCTTCCTCCCCTCTCCTCCGTGGAAATGACCCACCAGCCTCTTCGCTCCCCTCGGGGCTGTACAAAGGACACACCTGCATTGGTATGTATTTGGGTTCTGTTTGCCTGGTGGACTAGTTCATTCGTTACTCCACTGGTGGGCTGAGGGCTGCGGTGCACATCATAAATCACTCCTTTATCTATGTCAGCAGCTGTACTGCACAGCGCTCATAGTCTTTGGCGAAATAACCACTGAAGGTTTTGCAAGGCCACGTGAGGGAGGTCTGGAGTTATTTTATGATTTTGTTTGTGAGTGGCTGCTTCCCAAAGTTCATGGTTTTGCCCTGTGGGGAATGGCTTCTTGCAAAGCTGGCTGCAACGTCTATAGGGCTGGGACCTGGAAACAAGGCGTTGTGGGGTCCTGGTGTTTGTTAGTGTTTGTGATGCAGCGTGGTTAGTTGCAGGAAGGGTTAGGGTTCCACCAACTTCCCTGAGGCTCACCCAGGGTCTCTTCGTTGATTTCATTGCTTGGGAAACTCCTTAAGCACAGTTGGGCCGTACTCAGGCCAGGAGGCTTTGTGGTCTGGATGGTTGTGTCTGGATAGCCAAGTTGCAAGGGCTGTTTCCTCATATCTCCTGTCCTCCTCTTGAGTGCACGTGTCTGCAAACAAAACAAAAGTGTTTTGGCCACCCCCTTCTCGTGTGACTGTAGTGGCTGTGGTGATCTCCAGCACAGCTATAGCTGGAGGTATCCCATAACCTCTGCTAGTGAAGTGATTCCCCAGTAATACTGAAGTCAACATGAACTGTGCATATCTCTGCACCAGAAATGCCCTTGGAGTTAGACTAGCTTATATTTTGTATGTAAGCAAGTATTAACAATGAATATGTCTTATGCATTAAGATCAAAAGTATTATTTCGTCTTCTTTTAGTTTTCCAGGGCACTTCTATTCTGTAAATAGAAACCCTGTTTCTCCATAGTTTCTGCCCTGGTTCTCCATGTTTCTGCCCTGGTTCTCCATGTTTCTGCCATGGTTCTCCATGTTTCCATTATGGTTCTCCATGTTTCTGCCCTGGGTCTCCATGTTTCTGCCATGGTTCTCCATGTTTCTGCCATGGGTTTCCATGTTTCCATCATGCTTCTCCATGTTTCTGCCCTGGTTCTCCATGTTTCTGCCCTGGTTCTCCATGTTTCTGCCCTGGTTCTCCATGTTTCTGCCCTGGTTCTCCATGTTTCTGCCCTGGTTCTCCATGTTTCTGCCCTGGTTCTCCATGTTTCAGAAGGCAATGCAGTTTCTCTCAGCCCCAGATTATTTTCGGTGTGGCTCAAGGACGGCAGTTGGAAATAACCCTCCTAAGCTCGATAAACCCCTGGTTTCGCCTCACTTCTGCGCCATTCCCAGTGCCCCACAGATTCTGGCACGGGCGAGGCAGGGTGAGCGAACGCAGGGTGAAGCTGGGGTGATGAGGTTTGTGCAGCCCTCGCAGGGCTCAGCCGCCGGCCAGAAAACGAGGGCAAGCAGCGAGAAGCAGAAATGGGTGTCAGGGACCGGCCTTGTTGGGGCCAGTGGCCGAGCAGCTGCCAGAGCCGGAGGGAAGTGGTGGGTTCCGATGGCAATGTCTTTGGCAGCTGTTTGGAAGGCAGCCGGAACCGCAGCCTGTGGGATTTTACACCGGTGTGTTTTGAACGCTGCGTGTGAGTGTTGGCTGCCCTTCCTCTCCTATTGATCCAGCCAGGCTCTGCGCTCCTAAAGCAGCAGCACATGGCATTGAAGTTGCCATGCATAGAAAAAGGTGTGGTTTTTTTAGGGCACTTTGCTGTTTAAGAGTGTGATACTGGATCTTCGGCCAAACCGGAGCCTGATCCTACTTACCGTGCTGCATGCAGACCTGGAGAGGAGCTGAGTGATGGCAGGGGTGTAACTGCTGACAGATTCAGATTTAAGCAGCTGATCTGCTTTATGAATGTGAAGATCTGAATCAAAACAGGCAGGGGGCCTGTGCTCACATGGGATTATTTATTTCTAACAGCAGGTATGGGTGGGATGGGCGGTATCATGTATAGGGTGGAAGTGGAGGGAACTGTTTCAGCATCACCTCTAGATCACCAATTAGCACTGAGCTCTTTATCCACTCTTCCCATTCCCCAGAGCTGCCCGCTCTTCTGATTTCCTCCATTCCTGTACCAAATCCCACCAGACTGTGGGTCCCATTGCTGGGGCCACCGAGCATCTCCCTGGGATATCTGTTCAGTGAGGAGAAACCAAAACCCTGCCTCCCTCCCCTGTTGCTCTCTCTGCAAGCTAAAAGCATTCACATGAGCTTGACTCAGGACCAAAACAGGCTGTTCACACCTCTGTAAACTGCAAGCTGAAAACAGAGTGTGCAGAGCACTGAAACCACATGGGCTGGGCCTGGAAGGGGGGGCTGATGACAAGCAGGCAGGCTGCTGTCTGTGAGCCCGGGCAGCCTCCTCTGGGCTGTCATAGGATCCCAGCCTGGTTTGGGTTGAAGGGACCTTAAAGCTCATCGAGTGTCCAACCCCTGCCACAGGCAGGGACCCCTTCCACTAGAGCAGCTTGCTCCAAGCCCCTGTGTCCAACCTGGCCTTGAACACTGCCAGGGATGGGGCAGCCACAGCTTCTCTGGGCACCCTGTGCCAGCGCCTCAGCACCCTCACAGGGAAGAGCTTCTGCCTAAGAGCTCAGCTCAGTCTCCCCTCGGGCAGGTTAAAGCCATTCCCCTTGGCCTGTCCCTACATCCCTTGTCCCAAGCCCCTCTCCAGGTTTCCTGCAGCCCCTTCAGGCACTGGAGCTGCTCTAAGGTCTCCCCTTCAGGAGCCTTCTCTTCTCCAGGCTGCCCCAGCCCAGCTCTCTCAGCCTGGCTCCAGAGCAGAGCTGCTCCAGCCCTCACAGCATCCCCATGGCCTCCTCTGGCCTCGTTCAAGCAAGTTCACCTCCCTCTTCTGTTCACTGATGGGCTGCTCTCTTGACTGACTCCTGAAGACACTGACAAGCCATCTGTGTCTCTTCCTTTTCACAAGCAGGGAAGTGAAAACCCTGATTTGGTGCCCAGCCCCTTAGGAGCAGGAATTAAGCCACAATCAGCTTTCTCTGTAGGAGGAAGATTGTGATTTCCTTTCAACAGCTTGACCCCAGCCCCTGCTAGCTCAGTCTGCCATCTGGGAAGGCACTGGGAGAGAGCCATGAGAGCTTCCTCTGGGTCTTCTTGGCCTTACAGATTGAGGCAGCGTTTTTAACAGGCGAAATGACTGCTGCCAAATACACAGGAGCTTTCCTTGAAGCAGTGGGTTTTTCCATGCAAGTTAAATGTGTGCTCAGGTGTCGCATCTGTCAAAGTGATTTGCTTCTCTTTCTCTGAGGGAGATGGGGTGGCTGCACATTGAACAGTCACTTCTGAGCACTCCTCTGTGAGTACCACCTGCATGGCCAAGATTGCTCTGTTGCTGGCTCAGGTCAGTCAGAAAATGGTTGCTCGTTCAATAGCAAAATCAATACAAGATTTCTCATTAAGTTTTTCCATGGAAAGTATCACACTTCTTGAAGAAATAATAGGTAGAAATCATATGACAGGGATGTGAAACACAGCTTGAATGCGATATGACTTGGTCGCTTCTTTCTTCTGTTACCCTTGCTAGCAGCGCTCCCTGGGTAGGCACCATCTGCACCAGTAGACTCTGGATATACTGGGAAAGGAACTGATGCCTCAAGGGACTCCCCTGTCCTTAGCACATCTGACAAATGTATTTTGGGTAGGAACCTCTATGCCTATATAGGGAATAGGGCTGGAGGAGAGGAGAGTGCATGCAGGGAGCTGCCACAGCATGCTGAACCATTCAAAGGACTCATAGGGGAGGCTGGCCAAAACATCTCTGCTTGCAGATTGTTGCTTGTCTAAAAGAGAAGGCGACGTTTTTACAGCCACATTCATTGTGCTGGGAAATGTTTAGACAGGAATTTTCACCAGCCTCGGGAACTGCAGAAAAAATCACATCGTTTTTGCTGCATTTTCTTGGGAAAGTCGACAGCTTCATCCAGAGAAAGCCTTTTAACAATGGACTTGGTGTGAAAAGAAAGCGTTTGGAAAGTGTCCCCACCTGAAATGGGACTTGTGCCGACTGCCTTTTGGAATCAGGGGAAAGAGGGGGAAAGGCCCTGATGATGATTTTTCTGGCTGTAGTACACCTGAGCAGTTCCTAACCATCTCCAACCTGCTCTTGAACAGTACCTGCTCTTTCTAGAAGAATTTTCCCAGCATCTGATGGTCTCCTTTCTCCAGCAGTGTTTCCTGCCTCCCCAGGCTGGAAAAATCCCTCCCTACCCCCATTCTGCAGACCTTCCTCTGGGCCTCGTGGCTTGTGATATACGCAAAGACCCATGGAGATGCTTTTTCTCGTGTAAGGATGGGGAGGTTTTGCTCTGTGCACTGGCTTGGGAGCAGAATGCTCAGTCTGGCTTTTGTTTCTGGCAGTACGGTTGAAGGGATTTATTCAGGATGAGACCTAGAAACCCTTTTGCTGGGTGCACCCTGTCTGTTTCAGTGCAGCATCCTGAGAACAAGAAGCTGTGTGTTTTTCTCTCAGAAATGAAGTATGAATGAGCCCTTCAGATCCTCTGGTCTTTGACTTTCCCCATTGTCCTGGTTTGGGCTGGAATTGAGCTTTCTTCCCAGCAGCTGGTGCAGGGCTGTGTTTTGGCTTTAGCCTGAGAGCAGCACTGATAACACACCGATGGTTTAGCTGATGCTCAGTAGCACTCACCCTGACCAAGGACTCTTCAGTGCCTCAGGCTCTGCCAGTGAGGAGGGACACAAGAAGCCAGGAAGGAGCGGAGCCAGGACACCTGGCCCGAACTAGACAAAGGGCTATTCCATACTATGGCTCAGTATAGAAACTGGGGGGTTGGCCAGGAGCTGACAATCACTGCTCAGGAATGAGCTGTGCATCGGTCAGCGGGTCATGAGCAAGTGTATTGTGCATCAGTTGAGGAAAATGCTGCCTGTTTTACAGGGCAAACGGGGTTTTACTGATGTTAATGTTAAGGTACGCAGAGACAGTGCAGTAAAACTGGTAACTGTTGACA